GGAGCATCATTTACTTTTGACCTATATAGAATGCCTTCAAGAATATCTCTGAGAAAATATTCATCATCAACAGAACCACATATCTTTTACTTTGTTAAAAAGTCTTTTACTTGTCTTCATTTTTAAAGGATGGTTCTAAATTGACATTATTTTTTTCCATCCGCATCTTGTAGATGTTCATTCATTGTCTTCTGCGTTCTATTTGTTTTTGTACAAACACAGTTATATTTAATATTGTTTCCCTGGCTGGGCGCGGTGGCTCAAGCCTGTAATCCCAGCACTTTGGGAGGCCGAGACGGGCAGATCACGAGGTCAGGAGATCGAGACTATCCTGGCCAACACGGTGAAACCCCGTCTATACTAAAAAATACAAAAAACTAGCCGGGCGAGGTGGCGGGCGCCTGTAGTCCCAGCTACTCGGGAGGCTGAGGCAGGAGAATGGCGTGAACCCGGGAGGCGGAGCTTGCAGTGAACTGAGATCCGGCCACTGCACTCCAGCCTGGGCGACAGAGCAAGACTCAGTCTAAAAAATATATATATATATGTGTGTATATATATACATATATATGTGTGTATATATACATATAGTTTCCCTGTATGAAATATGTCAATATGATATTTATTTTTCCCCCAGTCACCTTCTTCTCTTGATTATTGGCTACCAGAAATTTTGATGTGCTTAGGCATGGGTTCTCTTTCTAGTTCTCCCTCTTGCTCTCTCACTCAAAAAATTTTGAGTTTTATTGTTCCTGCTTGAGAACTTTCAATATTCTTCACTCTGTAGGTTCAGTCTCACCACATTTGGCCATTAATCTTCCATGTCATCTCCCCATTCTCACTCTCTTTTCTGTTTCTATGGAAGCACTTATTTTAGAACATATGGTATTTACTCAAGTGATTTGAGATTTCTCTTTTTATTCAAAATATTTCTCTTACATTTAACTTAGATAGTTTTATTTACCTATTTTCCAGTTTAGTGTTTTATTCTTTTCTGTAATGTCCAATCTGCTAGTAAGCCTAATCAATTCTTGCTTTTAAATTTTAGAAATTTAATTTTAATTTCTGAAATTTCCAATCATTATTTTTATTTTTAGGATTCACATTTTTTTTTTTTCTGCTGATATCGCCTGCTTCTTTTTATGTCTTGTAATTTTTTTCTTAGAGTATTAGAGAACATTGAGGACTAATATAAAAACATTTGCTTCGCGTAGTTTAATTGATATCATTTTCTGTGCTTAGTAGTTAAGGTAAGGGGTTGTCCATTTAGATTACTCTAGAATTAAGTTAGCCTAAGGCTGGGTTACACTTTATTACATTATTAAATTAACCTGAGGCTGGGTCAACTTTATTTGATTAAATTTTCCTGTGATTAACCCAACCCTCAAGTGATTTAGCTGATGCCTTAGTGATTCTGTCAGTATTTGAGCCATAAGTGCAATGTGTTTGGTACAATTACAGATACTTTTGAATTCTCTAACAGATCTCCCTTCGCTTTTTAAAAATTTCTGAGGCAGGTAGGAAACCCAAGGTGAATCTGTTCCTGTTTTAGGGACTTTTCACACACCAAACTGTCACGGCAGCAACTTTCATCAGAAACTTGGGTGGTTTTCCCTTATTTTGTGTGCAGTCTCCCAGTATTAGGACTCCAGTCTCCAGGGGAGGAGCTTGTTCCTAATGATAGCTATTGTCAAGGCTATCTACTCAAATATACGGGGCAAAATTTCTGTGTGGGATTTAGTTCATAAGGCTTCCTTTCACCCAGTACTTTAGGCTAGCTTCATTTTTAAAAGTATGAATTTTATTTTGTCTCAGCCTGAGTCCGTGAAAATCCAAACTAAGAAAAAAATTGTTTATTCTCTCACCGAATGACAAATGCACAAGACTTCTGTGACTCCACATATGGGGGAAATTCTCTCCACCAGCAAGCAACCAGTTCTGTAGCAAGAACCAGCCGGGTGTCCACCAATTCAATTCTGGTACCACGTACCTGAAGATAGTGTCACATCTCACAGGTTGAGGGCTCAGTCCTACAAGACCGCCCCCCCACTTATGATGCCAATAGCAAACCCCTGTTTGTTTTTTCTGTGCTTATGACCAACCAGCTATAAATCAGGGTTTCCACGACTCCCTCCTTGTATTTAGTTTGCTAGAGTGGCTCAAAGAACTCAGGGAAACGTGTTTATTGGTTTATTATAAGATATCAGATGAAGAGATGCATACGGGACGGTATGGAGGAAGGAGAGCGCACACCTTCCTCTTGCCCTCTTTGGGCACACCACCTTCCAGGAACCTCCACATGTTCAGCTATCTGTAAGCTCTAAGAACTCTGCTTTTCAGGTTTTTTGGAGCTTCAGTATGCAAGCATGATTGATTAAATCATAAGCCACTGGAGATTAACTTAACCTTCTGCCCTCTCCCTCACCTGTAGGTTTCGAGTGAGGGTGGAAATCTGAATCCTCTTATCATGCCTTGGTGTTTCTGGTGACCGGCTCCCATCGTGAAGCTGCATGGGGGCTGCTGGCCATCAGTCAACTCATTAACATACAAAAGACATCATTTTGGAGATTCTAAAGATTTTAGAAGTCATATGCGAGGAAATAGGTCATAAACAAAATATATATTTTAGAGTAGCGCACTCAGTGTTTCTTATTGCCACTACAGGGACTAAGTGGTGAATTTTACCAGGAAGCAGAAATATCCCTTAATATTTTCTTAATTGTTACTTACATCATGCCAAGTCTGGCTTCCAACAGCTACAGCTCAGCCTTGAGATGACTCTATCCCTAGCGGACACCAACACCTTTGATGCAGTTTTGTGAACCACGCTGAGTCAGGTGCACCCAGCTAGGCATGCCTGAACTCCTGACCCACAAAATTGAAATAATAAACGTTATTGTTTAAAGCTGCTAGCTTTGGGGTAATTTGTTTATTAGGAGCATATGACTACTGCAGACTCTATTGGTTGTAGCTAAAAAAACTGCAATTTAAACTAGCTTCTGCAAATAGTTGTTAGTTTTTTTTTGTTTTGTTTTGTTTTTGTTTTTTGGTATACAGAATTCAAAGTGTTTTAAGGGCTTGTGAGCAGCTGAAACAGATGATTGCAGGGCTCTCGACTATTTGGGTAATCTTTTTGGAAAAAGTATGCTTATCATGCTCCTCTTCTTTATGTTACAAATTTTGACAGTTCTCACACATTTATTATTATTCCAAGGAAACTTATAATCAATCTGATAATGTCTCCAGTGTAAATTCTCTACCACTTCATTCTGAAAAGAATGAAGTGAATTTATGAGTTAAATTGGAGAATATTGACAGAGTTAGAATAAATACTACTATCCATGAAAATGAAATGTGGTAGCTTTTATACTAAGTATCCTCTTGGGTACATCTGTAGAAAAGTACATATTTTTTCAAGAGTTCTTCACATTTGTAATTAATAGTATTTCAAGAGTTAATATGTTACTTGATTTTATTACTCTCTGTATATACAAATTTACAATGCATAGATGTTTTTTATTGATTAAAATTGGAAATTTTCTCCTTTAGCATTTTTATAATAGAATAATAATTACTGAATATAAAAGTTTCTTGTTAAAATATGTTTGGAATTAGTAAGTATATAATTTAGATGTCATAACCCTTAATACACAAAAGTACATTAAAAATATCTTAAAGACTGGATATAGTTTTGAGTGTGTTAAACTTATTTAAACAACAACGAAAAACATTTACTTTTGTTTCGTCTTCAGGAATTTTTTGTCCATGAAACACACTGTGGAAGATGTTGCCCAAGACACTCACTATTCAATCTACTATTTGCAGATTATATTTTTTCTTTTCTATTTCTAAATTATAAATGGTTTTATGATTCAAAATGTGTGTTTAATTTCTGTAAAATTTATTATTGACTGAGGTAGTCAGAATTACTTTTTAAGTTACTAACCATAATTTCACTGTATGTTTCTTATGAATCTTTAAAGAGGAAACATTCTCTTTTATTCCCAGTCATTTCATCTTGTTGCATAAAGTTGAAACTTCCCCATCATCAAATTCTTTAATTCTATGCAACTGAAAAACATAGTGAGTTATAGAATGTCTAAGATTGCAGGAAAGTACTGCCCAGATTCATTCACAAGTAGGTACATTATCTGAGTCTTCATAAGTTAAGTTTTTCAGGGCAAACTTGTTCCCAACTAGCAGGGTAGAGGTGGTAGAGTGATTTTGCAAGTGAGAAGCAAGGGCTCTACAGTTTGGGGAGAATAATTTAACTCTGATTTCGGTCATAACACCTACTTTAATCCATAACATCAATATTAAATCTAATATTCTGATAGCTAGAATGAAGGAAAGAGTTGTGGCAATTTCTCATCAATAGCCAAGGGATTAAACATGTTTGCATTTATACATCCTATTTTTGTCAAAATCTTTTTCTAAAAAATACAATGTAGGATTTGATGTGTTAATATATTATTTGATATTTGTAAATACTCAATTGCACATGAAATAAACCTATATTACACTTGGAATACTTACAAATACCCAATAATAGGCACGTTTTTTTCAATAAAAGCACAAACATTATATATTTTAGACTTTGTGAGTCATAACCTCTCAGTTGTAACTACTCAACTGTTATAGCATGTGAGTTGCTGCAGCAACTATTCAACCAAACGTTATTTACTAAAACAAGCAATAGGCTGGACTAGACTTGCAGGCTGCAATTTGCTCATCCTGGTCTATCAATCTCCTGTGTGTTTGTATACATGTATGTGCCTCCATCCTTAAAAAATATGTTTCTATCTTAAAATATATACTGAATAATATAATAATTATCTATTCACTGAAGTCTTCACAGATCTTACCAATAAATCCATTTTGCCCAGAACATTTTTAAAGTTTAAATTTTCACATTTTGCTTTCTCATGTTTATTAATCAGCAAATAATTTCTGCTACTGAGTCTATTGCTTATTTATATTTTCCCCTAAGAAGTAATTTTCACTTCTTCTCCGAGAGAACACCAAATGGCGGATGACGCCGGTGCAGCGGGGGGGCCCGGAGGCCCTGGTGGCCCTGGGATGGGGAACCGCGGTGGCTTCCACGGAGGTTTCGGCAGTGGCATCCGGGGTCGGGGTCGCGGCCGTGGACGGGGCCGGGGCCGAGGCCGCGGAGCTCGCGGAGGCAAGGCCGAGGATAAAGAGTGGATGCCCGTCACCAAGCTGGGCCGCTTGGTCAAGGACATGAAGATTAAGTCCCTGGAGGAGATCTACCTCTTCTCTCTGCCCATTAAGGTGTTTGTTGCTATCGGCGACTACAATGGCCACGTCGGCCTGGGTGTTAAGTGCTCCAAGGAGGTGGCCACTGCCATCCGTGGGGCCATCATCTTGGCCAAACTCTCCATTGTCCCGGTGCGCAGAGGCTACTGGGGGAACAAGATCGGCAAGCCCCACACCGTCCCTTGCAAGGTGACAGGCCGCTGCGGCTCTGTGCTGGTGCGCCTCATCCCTGCACCCAGGGGCACTGGCATCGTCTCAGCGCCTGTGCCCAAGAAGCTGCTCATGATGGCTGGTATTGATGACTGCTACACCTCAGCCCGGGGCTGCACTGCCACCCTGGGCAACTTCGCCAAGGCCACCTTTGATGCCATCTCTAAGACCTACAGCTACCTGACCCCTGACCTCTGGAAGGAGACTGTGTTTACCAAGTCTCCCTATCAGGAATTCACTGACCACCTTGTCAAGACCCACACCAGAGTCTCTGTGCAGCGGACCCAGGCTCCAGCTGTGGCTACAACATAGGGTTTTTGTACAACAAAAATAAAGTGAATTAAGCCTGTTACTAAAAAAAAAAAAAAAAAAAAAAAAAAAAAGAAGTAATTTTCATTGGGATTTCTTTTGGCATACCATTGTAATTATTTACTAATTTTAAAATATTCATTATAATATAATAATTAAATATTCATCCTTTTAATATTTTTGAGGGTTCAGTTTCTTTTGTTTGTTTTGCTATACAGATGGCCCTCAAAAATGGTTTGACTTACAATTTTTTGACTTTAGGATGGGTTTATCAGAACATAAATCTAGGATAAGTTGAGGAGCATCTGTGTTCATGAATAATTTCTAGTATTAATACATCATGACCAGAGATCAGCTAAGATTTACATTTCATTTGTTTTATTGTGCCTAGTACCTGACGATATTTTTTAACAATTTGAGAGACTGAATATACAAACAGACATGGTCATATTGCACATGAAAATGGAACTCTCACACACATTTGTAGCGAGCCGACTAGAAAGTCTAGCACAATTTATGCAGCAATTGTACCAAATAGGCAGGATTTGATCAATAACTGAGAATTTCCACAATCTTTGCACCCCATATCCACTTCCAACTAGGACCAATCAGACAAAGTCAAAAATACTTTTGTGTTCTATCACTATCACAAATAGTGTTCCACTTCTAGTTGGCCCACTCCAGCTTCCCCATGCCAACAACCTCTATTCAAGACAACTATTTGACTGAAGTATTCTTTTTTCCACTATAAAGCTTTCCCACTCTTCTGTTTGCTTTTGAGTCTCTGCCATACACAAGAGATAGTAGCTGACTTCCTTGCTGTAGCAAGCTCTGAATAAATAGCCTTTGCTTGTTTTCATTTGGGTGGTCTTCATTTATTGCCACAAATTTCATGGATATTTGTCAGAGTTTAGAATTCTGTCAATTTCAATGTTCATACTATACCACCACACATTCATTTCTATTAATTCATATAAATACACACAAACCAATCATATACATATGTAAATGTTAATGTGTATTCATATATGTAATGTTTTAACCATGTGAGAAAAGAAGAGGCCAACTGGTATCTTTCTGTCCTGTAGGATCGTTAGATTGCTCCAAATCTTAATTCCATGGGCTTAGGAAGCACTGTTTCTTCTTTAGACTTCTAGAATTTCCAGGGGAAATTGTGACAAATCAGCTACTGTCTCTTGTGTATTCTCCTATGGAATACTTAAGCAAAGTCTCTTGTGCTTTATTTGAAGCTACTCACATAAAAAGCATTAATGAGAGATGGAGTTTACCAAAGATTTTGTAGATCTTGTAGAGAAATACAGGGAGGAATGTGTATAACACACTCATAAGTACAAGAATTTAAAACTTCATATTTCTCTTTGACCTTTTTAAAAATTAAATTGTCTATTCAAATACCACCTTAGTGTTTCTTCTTTCCTTTCCCTCTGTTTGTTTGTTTGTTTGTTTCCTGAGACAGGATCTGGCTCTGTCACCAAGGCTGGAGTTCAGTGGTGCAACCTTGACTCACTGCAACCTCTACCTCTTGAGCTCAATCTATCCTCCCTCCTTAGCCTCCAAGTTGCTGGGATTATAGGCGCATACCATCACGCCCAATGATCCCCCTCATTTTCATTCCTCACCTGGCTCCTTTATTTAAGAAATATCCCCTTAACTATCATTCCACTTTGTCTGACACCTCCTCTTAAATCTGAACACAAATAAAACCCTCAAAAAATGCTCTTCAAGAAAAAGACCATTGAGTTAATGTCACCTACCCTAAACAGCTGGTGTTGAGAGAGAGGGGAAGGCACAAATTCACATATGTTTCACAAAGTCAAATAATTGTGTTACTGAAGTTTTGTATTTGATCTGTCATATTCTAAGAGGATTTCCCACTGGACTACAGTTCTGTCAAATTGTAGTGAACATTTTTGTTTGTTTATTATGTCATTTCATACACAAAAGCAGAGGACTGCTATATGTTAATAAATTGCACTTTTCTCAGCAGTGTAAAATAGTCATATTTAAACCATATTATACATTTTGGTTTAAAATTATGCTTTGTTTTTGCTACTCTTGCATTGTTCTTGTTTGCTTGGAGACCATTGACATTTTAAAGTATGCTACACTATCTAATTTTTTCTTATTAATGTAGTCTCTTCAGATTTTGTTTCTAAGTTTTGATGTTTTACTCTAATATTATAATAGTTTAGAATATTTATATCCTATTTAGGAACCAATATACAGAAGTGAATAAGAGCACAAACACTAAAAATTCTCTCTGAGTTTATCCCGGTTGTGCCATTTATTGAATCTAAATCTAAGTTACTTAAACTCTGTCTCAGCTCCCTTGGCTATGAAATAGGCATATAATAAATACCTCTTAGAATTTTGGAGGCAATTAAGTAAATTAAATATTCATACCACTGTTTGTTATTTGGTAAGTGGTATATTAAGTCTTATCTATTATTTCTGTCCCATAAGTTTTTATTATCAAATTTTTAGCAAGAACATTTGAAGCTTTATGGTATGAGGATGGGTATAAAATAGAAGTAAATTAAGTACTAGGAGAGCTTTCATTCTTCAAATTATATTAATCTTTTAATATGAAATATCAAAATAAAGAGAGACAAACTAGTGTCTACACATAACTACACACACCAATTATATCCATATGTGTTAATTATTAATTGGTTTTGTTAGTTGGTTTATTTAGAAATAAATCTCACCTGCCTCTTAATGATTTGGCTAGTTAATGGGTGTTGACATGACTCCACAGGATACATCCAAGAATCTCAGCTCTCAGCGAGACGTCCACGCTACCATTGTAGGGGAGTACCAGGTAGCACAATCAAGCAGAGAAAGGAGCCATTTAATGCTATACTCAATCTATTTCTTAAATAATTATGTTTTTGGATATTTCATGTTTCATGATAGAAAATTCAACAAATAAAAAATAATTCTTAAAAATCCCATGAGTCTATCAAGCTTCTTCAACAAATAATATCAAATCATGGCTAATCTTGTTTCTTGATTACTTTACTTAGTTCTCCCTTTGTTTATCAAGATCAATCAAATCCCAGCCATCATATAATTTTATTTGAAGATTTTAGAATACAAATCTAAGAACTATTTCTTTAAACATCCATTATGTAATAAAAATTATTTTTAAATATAATTAAATATCCAATCTGTGCTATTCAATCAAATATCTGTTCAGGGATATCCAGTTACTCATTTTTTAATGTTTCTTTGAGAATTCAGCAATTGTCAACTAGCTATATGTGATTTAAGTCTTACTTTAATCTATAGGTCACTTTCTCTTCCTATCTACTTTTTATTTTAAAATAATTTAAAAGTTAGAGAAAAGTTATAAAAATGGTAGAATTTTCTATGTTCTTCACCCAGCTTCCCTAATATTCACCTCTTACATCACCGTTGTGCTATTATCAAAACCAGGAAATTATCATGGGTACAATACCATCAACAAAACTCCAGATTTTCCATCCAATATTTATTTCAGATCCCACTTGTAGGGAGTTATCATTTCACCACACTTTCTTCCAATTTGTAACAGCTTCTTATTCCCTCTTCGTATTTTATGACTTTGTTACCTTTCAATATGCCATTTATTTTGGAAAATGCTCCTCAATTTGTACCTGCCTGATGTTTTCTTATAGTTAGATGAAGGTTATGATTTTTTGGTAACAATATTGCAGAAATTATGTGCTCCTCTTAGCACAGATATCAAGGGGTAGATGGTATTGATATGTCTTATTACTGATAATCTTAATTTTCACCATTCAAGCGAGTGTATGCCTGTTTCCTCCACTGTAAAATTATAGTATTTTCACTTTTTCTAATTTATCAATATTGTGAGCTGATACTTGGAGAGACTATGTAAATATTTTGTTTCTCCTCATACTTTAATCCATGAAAAATTATTAGTGAATATGAATGTTGCCTACCATAATAATAAACTGTTATTTGCCCGATAAAAGATTTATATTTCCCCCCCCTTTTTTTTTTTTTTTGAGATAAGGTCTCACTCTGCCACCTAGGCTGGAGTGTAGTGGCCTGATCTTGGCTCACTGCAACCTCCACCTCTCTGGCTCAAGTGATCCTCCCACCTCAGCCTCCCAAGTAGCTGGGACCACAGGTGTGTGACACCAAGTCTGGCTAATTTTGTATTTTTGGTAGAGACAAGGTTTCATTTTGTTGCCCAGGATGGTATCAAAATCTTGAGCTCAAGTTATCTGCCTGCCTCAACCTCCCCAAATGCTGAGATGACAGGCATAAATCACCACACCCAGTTTTCCTCATTCTTTCTATTTGTATTATTGAATCACTGCCCTTTATTCAGTTTTTATTCAATTAGATGTATTAGATGAGAAATAATTTTGTGATTTATTTATATAAATATTAACTTTTAGGTATTTATTTTATTCTAGGGGTTACAGCCCCATAGTTCATTAACTATTTAATTCTCCAATTATTCCGGCTTTGGCTTTTTAGAACTCTTTCAGGTTTTCATCTGTGTTCCTTAACTCACCATAATCCATTTTCCAGTACTTCTTTACTTTCTGGCCTAGAAAGATATTTTTGATTCATATATATTTTTCTTACCTCAATTCTCTGAGGAATCCTGTTCCCTTTATTTGAAGAATAGTACAGAGAAATCAGGATCTGGGCTCCAGGTGTGCTCATTGTTTCTGGAGTGACATGCCTTTTTATGCCTTTCCATGGACAGAGGTAAAATATACACACACACACACACAGTTCCATTAACAGAGATAGAAAATATATACACACACAGACATACACACATACATAATACGTATGTACATATATACACACACAGAGTCACACATGCATATATCTATATTTTAATGTATATATTAAAACCATGAGTTCATACTGGTACCTCTAATTTAAATACAAAACCACAGGTTGATTCCAACATTTTCTCTTTTCTTGTCATTACTGTCTTCTGTCCAAATCTGAGAAAATTTGGTCTTATTACATTGTATTTACTTATTT